TCGGTTGATGACAGGCATTTTTTTAAGTCCCATCGCTTCATCGGCTTGTTTGCTTTCGATGGCACCGTCCGTGGTTGTGGGGCGAGGCAAGTGAGTTTTAACCGTGGGGTGGACACGCGCGTGCAGGGAAATCAAGCGCGGGATTATCGTAGTAGCACAAGTAGCCACATAATGCCACGTGCCCCGCACCGCACTTTCAAGGGCCCCCACCCCCGCGCGCTAAATGCTTCCAAGCTATCGATTCCGATCTTGACTTAAAGCTTTTGTGACTGCAGGAATTTATATTATTGCGTCTTGTGGTAAAGTCACGTAGATAGGTTCAAAGAAAATGACAAAAAAAAAACCTACCATCAATTCCCGTTCAGTGATTCTGCACTTGCTCTATTACCATAGTACTACACCGCCTTTAACTTTTACGAACGAATGAGTGTTCAAAGTTAGCGATTCGTCGTATTATCTGGCCGTATAGCAAATTGAAAAAAAATACAATTACTTTACGGTGCAAGTAAAAAATGTGTTTAAATGTATTTTGTATTTATTTAGGCGCCCTTTATATCATACGCTACAGGCCCCACACTAGCTTAACCCTGCACTGAGAGCAACTGCTATGATTTGACATCGAGGTATATCTGATGAGCGGGATGATTGCGGCCAGGATTTGGCGTGGTGGTGAATCATCGCTGTGCCGATGCCCTCCGAAAAATGTTTTTCCGAGGTCGTGGGCCAATGAGCTTCGTCGAAGGTCCAAGACGGGGGGGGGTGGGTGGGGGGGGAGAATCTCCGTCGGGGTCTTTGATGGGCATGTGCCGCTTAATGGTGACGCGGTGTTGATGGTGAAGCTGTGTTGATGGTGTTGATGGTGAAGCGGTGTTGATGGTGTTGATGGCGATGCTGTGTTGATGGCGATGCTGTGTTGATGGTGATGCTGTGTTGATGATGTGTTGATGGTGTTGATGCTGTGTTGATGGTGTTGATGGTGATGTTGTGTTGATGGTGTTGATGCTGTGTTGATGGTGATGCTGTGTTGATGGTGATGCTGTGTTGATGCTGTGTTGATGCTGTGTTAATGGTGTTGATGGTGTTGATGGTGATGTTGTGTTGATGGTGTTGATGGTGATGCTGTGTTGATGGTGTTGATGGTGATGCTGTGTTGATGGTGATGATGGTGATGCTGTGTTGATGGTGATGCTGTGTTGATGCTGTGTTGATGGTGTTGATGGTGTTGACGGTGATGCTGTGTTGATGGTGTTGAGGTTGTTGATGGTGATGCTGTGTTGATGGTGATGCTGTGTTGATGGTGTTGATGGTGATGCTGTGTTGATGGTGTTGATGGTGATGCTGTGTTTATGGTGATGCTGTGTTGATGGTGTTGATGGTGTTGATGGTGATGTTGTGTTGATGGTGTTGATGGTGTTGATGGTGATGCTGTGTCGATGGTGATGCTGTGTTGATGGTGTTGATGGTGATGCTGTGTTGATGGTGTTGATGGTGTTGATGGTGATGCTGTGTTGATGGTGATGCTGTGTTGATGGTGTTGATGGTGATGCTGTCTTGATGGTGTTGATTGTGTTGATGGTGATGCTGTGTTGATGGTGTTGATAGTGATGCTGTGTTCATGATGATGCTGTGTTGATGGTGATGCTGTGATGATGGTGTTGATGGTGATGCTGTGTTGATGGTAATGCTGTGTTGATGGTGTTGAGGGTGATGCTGTGTTGATGGTGATGCTGTGATGATGGTGTTGAGGTTGTTGATGGTGATGCTGTGTTGATGGTGATGCTGTGTTGATGGTGTTGATGGTGATGCTGTGTTGATGGTGTTGATGGTGATGCTGTGTTGATGGTGATGCTGTGTTGATGGTGTTGATGGTGTTGATGGTGATGCTGTGTTGATGGTGTTGATGGTGTTGATGGTGATGCTGTGTCGATGGTGATGCTGTGTTGATGGTGTTGATGGTGACGCTGTGTTGATGGTGTTGATGGTGTTGATGGTGATGCTGTGTTGATGGTGATGCTGTGTTGATGGTGTTGATGGTGTTGATGGTGATGCTGTGTTGATGGTGTTGATTGTGTTGATGGTGATGCTGTGTTGATGGTGTTGATAGTGATGCTGTGTTCATGGTGATGCTGTGTTGATGGTGATGCTGTGATGATGGTGTTGATGGTGATGCTGTGTTGATGGTAATGCTGTGTTGATGGTGATGCTGTGATGCTGTGTTCATGGTGATGCTGTGTTGATGGTAATGCTGTGTTGATGGTGATGCTGTGATGCTGTGTTCATGGTGATGCTGTGTTGATGGTAATGCTGTGTTGATGGTGATGCTGTGATGCTGTGTTCATGGTGATGCTGTGTTGATGGTAATGCTGTGTTGATGGTGATGCTGTGATGCTGTGTTGATGGTGATGCTGTGTTGATGGTGTTGATGGTGTTGATGGTGATGCTGTGTTGATGGTGATGCTGTGTTGATGGTGTTGATGGTGATGCTGTCTTGATGGTGTTGATTGTGTTGATGGTGATGCTGTGTTGATGGTGTTGATAGTGATGCTGTGTTCATGATGATGCTGTGTTGATGGTGATGCTGTGATGATGGTGTTGATGGTGATGCTGTGTTGATGGTAATGCTGTGTTGATGGTGTTGAGGGTGATGCTGTGTTGATGGTGATGCTTTGATGATGGTGTTGAGGTTGTTGATGGTGATGCTGTGTTGATGGTGATGCTGTGTTGATGGTGTTGATGGTGATGCTGTGTTGATGGTGTTGATGGTGATGCTGTGTTGATGGTGATGCTGTGTTGATGGTGTTGATGGTGTTGATGGTGATGCTGTGTTGATGGTGTTGATGGTGTTGATGGTGATGCTGTGTCGATGGTGATGCTGTGTTGATGGTGTTGATGGTGACGCTGTGTTGATGGTGTTGATGGTGTTGATGGTGATGCTGTGTTGATGGTGATGCTGTGTTGATGGTGTTGATGGTGTTGATGGTGATGCTGTGTTGATGGTGTTGATTGTGTTGATGGTGATGCTGTGTTGATGGTGTTGATAGTGATGCTGTGTTCATGGTGATGCTGTGTTGATGGTGATGCTGTGATGATGGTGTTGATGGTGATGCTGTGTTGATGGTAATGCTGTGTTGATGGTGATGCTGTGATGCTGTGTTCATGGTGATGCTGTGTTGATGGTAATGCTGTGTTGATGGTGATGCTGTGATGCTGTGTTCATGGTGATGCTGTGTTGATGGTAATGCTGTGTTGATGGTGATGCTGTGATGCTGTGTTCATGGTGATGCTGTGTTGATGGTAATGCTGTGTTGATGGTGATGCTGTGATGCTGTGTTCATGGTGATGCTGTGTTGATGGTGTTGATAGTGATGCTGTGTTCATGATGATGCTGTGTTGATGGTGATGCTGTGATGATGGTGTTGATGGTGATGCTGTGTTGATGGTAATGCTGTGTTGATGGTGTTGATGGTGATGCTGTGTTGATGGTGATGCTGTGATGATGGTGTTGAGGTTGTTGATGGTGATGCTGTGTTTATGGTGATGCTGTGTTGATGGTGTTGATGGTGATGCTGTGTTGATGTTGTTGATGGTGATGCTGTGTTGATGGTGATGCTGTGTTGATGGTGTTGATGGTGTTGATGGTGATGCTGTGTTGATGGTGTTGATGGTGTTGATGGTGATGCTGTGTCGATGGTGATGCTGTGTTGATGGTGTTGATGGTGATGCTGTGTTGATGGTGTTGATGGTGTTGATGGTGATGCTGTGTTGATGGTGATGCTGTGTTGATGGTGTTGATGGTGTTGATGGTGATGCTGTGTTGATGGTGTTGATTGTGTTGATGGTGATGCTGTGTTGATGGTGTTGATAGTGATGCTGTGTTCATGGTGATGCTGTGTTGATGGTGATGCTGTGATGATGGTGTTGATGGTGATGCTGTGTTGATGGTAATGCTGTGTTGATGGTGATGCTGTGATGCTGTGTTCATGGTGATGCTGTGTTGATGGTAATGCTGTGTTGATGGTGATGCTGTGATGCTGTGTTCATGGTGATGCTGTGTTGATGGTAATGCTGTGTTGATGGTGATGCTGTGATGCTGTGTTCATGGTGATGCTGTGTTGATGGTAATGCTGTGTTGATGGTGATGCTGTGATGCTGTGTTCATGGTGATGCTGTGTTGATGGTGTTGATAGTGATGCTGTGTTGATGGTGATGCTGTGTTGATGGTGATGCTGTGTTGATGGTGATGCTGTGATGCTGTGTTCATGGTGATGCTGTGTTGATGGTAATGCTGTGTTGATGGTGATGCTGTGATGCTGTGTTCATGGTGATGCTGTGTTGATGGTGATGCTCTGTTGATGGTGATGATGGTGATGCTCTGTTGATGGTGATGATGGTAATGCTGTGATGATGGTGTTGATGGTGATGCTGTGTTGATGGTGATGCTGTCTGTGTTGATGGTGTTGATGGTGATGCTGTGTTGATGGTGATGCTGTCTGTGTTGATGGTGATGCTGTGATGATGGTGTTCATGGTGATGCTGTGTTGATGGTGATGCTGTCTGTGTTGATGGTGTTGATGGTGATGCTGTCTGTGTTGATGGTGTTGATGGTGATGCTGTCTGTGTTGATGGTGTTGATGGTGTTCATGGTGATGCTGTGTTGATGGTGATGCTGTCTGTGTTGATGGTGTTGATGGTGTTGATGGTGTTGATGGTGATGCTGTCTGTGTTGATGGTGTTGATTGTGTTGATGGTGTTGATGGTGATGCTGTCTGTGTTGATGGTGTTGATTGTGTTGATGGTGTTGATGGTGTTGCTGTCTGTGTTGATGGTGTTGATGGTGTTGATGGTGTTGAGGTTGTTGATGGTGATGCTGTGTTGATGGTGATGCTGTGTTGATGGTGATGCTGTGTTGATTGTGTTGATTGTGTTGATTGTGTTGATGGTGATGCTGTGTTGATTGTGTTGATTGTGTTGATGGTGATGCTGCGTCTGTGCTCGCGAAGGCCGCGGCGACAGCGGCGGACCTCATGGAGGAGCTGGAGCGGAAGGGTTCCTTCACGTTGCTGGCGCCCACCAACGAGGCCTTCGAGAGGCTCCCCAAGGACGTCCTCACGCGCATCCTGGGGGACCCCGAGGCCCTGAAGGGTACGCGGAGTGGAGGTGGTGGGGGTGGGTGGGGTGGTGGTTTGGGTGGGTGGGTGTGGGTGTGGTGGTGTGGGTGGGTGGGTGTGGGTGTGGTGGTGTGGGTGGGAGTGGTTGTGTGGGTCTGGTGGTGTGGGTGTGGTGTGGGTGGGAGTGGTAGTGGTTTGGGTGGGTGGGAGTGGTGGTGGTTTTGGGTGGGTGGGAGTGGTGCTGGTTTGGGTGGGTGGGTGGGAGTGGTGGTGGTTTGGGTGGGTGGGAGTGGTGGTGGTTTGGGTGGGTGGGAGTGGTGGTGGTTTGGGTGGGTGGGAGTAGTGGTGGTTTGGGTGAGTGGGTGGGTGTAATGGTGTGGGAGTGGTGGTGTGGTGGTGTGGGTGTGGGTGTGGTGGTGGTGTGGGTGGGTTTCGAGGTTTGGGTGTGGTAGTGGTGTGGGTGGGAGTGGTGGTGGTGGTGCGGTTTCACGAAAGGGCGGTCCTGCACAGATGCCATATTTTCTGTCCGTCTGCTACAGCAGAGGTGTAGGGAATTCCAGCAAGACCTACACCTCTGCTTTATTGACCTGGTCAGGGCCTATGATACCATCAGTAGGCCTGGGCTCTGGGTTGTTCTTCGTGCTTTTGGAGTCCCTGACCCTCTGCTCACGATCATTAAGGACCTTCATGATGGTGAGCGGGCCCGGGTAAAACTGCATGGCCGGGAGTCATAGCTATTCCCTGTACACCTTGGGGTGCGACAGGGATGTAGTTCGTGAAGCCTTCAATAGCTGTACCGGGGGAATCTCCATATGGTACAGATATAATGGGAGGCTGATCGATGCCCGGGTGCGGTCAAGGAATGGCTCCCTATTGGTCAACCACGTTATGTATGCCGATGATTTGGAAATAGCCGCTCATTCAGAGGAGGAGTTGGAGACGCTGCTGCTGAGACTGGAGCGTGCCACTAAGAGGTGGGGCCTTACCATCAGCCCCACCAAAACTAAGCACCTGCCTGGGTATTTTGTACCATCGGACACTCTACCCCCACAACTCCCAATCGGTGATGGGGCAGTTGTGGAGAGAGTGGAGAGTTTCCCATACCTGGGCAGTGTGCTTATGACTGGCTCCAGTTTAACAGCAGAGGTCTCACTCCGAATCAGTCAAGCGGCAATATCTTTTCATCGGTTGCGTAACGCTGTGTGGAAGCTACCTGGTCACTCCGCACTAGGCTTCAGGTTTTCTCGGCCACGGTCATTCCCTCCCTTCTCTCTGCTTGCGAAACATGGACCCCCCTAATGGAACACCTTCGCCGGTAAGAAACATTTAGGCTGGCCTGCCTACGATCCATTCTGGGTTTATCCAGGCTGGATTGTGTGAGGAGCTCACAAATCCTTGAAAGATCTGGGCACGGTCCCATCGGTGAGCTCCTCCGGCAGGCAAGGCTGCGTTGGCTGGGTCATGTAGCCCGCATGCCCAGCCACCGCATGCCGAAACAGCTTTTGTTCGGCCGGATCAAGGGGGCTAAACGGGCGCGGCATGGGCTAGAGAAGAGATGGAGTGATGTGGTACAGGAGGACGTGGAGCTGATGACTGGTACCAGCGGTGTCAAGATCAGCCTCTGTGGAGGAGGCTCGTGAAGGACGCTGCTGGGCAGTTGGAGGCAGTCGCCCTCCAACAACAACGGAGAGCATTGGAGTGATGCTCACAACAACGAGCGGAGCGCCGGGTGGCTAAAGCACAGCAGGTTGGCACAGTAGGGGGCACAGGTGGTGCATCAGCCAGTCATCTCAGTAATCTCAGTCAGTCGACCTGTGGCACCTGCGTCTGCCCCGTGACCTCCTGCCAGCGGGCGTTCGACACTTCACGTGGCCTCAAGGTGCACATGGGCTGGCACGAGCGTCGTGGTGACGTCACCGCCACTTAGTGGCGAATGGCGGTTGCTGTTGTTGGTGGTTGTGGCAGCCTCGAACCCCCTTTCGCCGGTGCGACTGGGGCTGATACAAAGCGGCAGCGCCTGGGATGAGCGGGAAGGACCCTCAACTTCTTTCGCGCCGTACGAAGCCGCCGGCGCTAATCGGAGGTGTGGGCGTCAAGTTGCCGTTCTCAGAGGGATTTTGATGGTCGTCAACGAAGCCCGCCCCCTCTCTCCTGCCCCGACTGTCACCGCTACCCGATGCTGCTGCTGCTGCTGCTGTCCACAATCGCACACTCCACTCCCCTGCCATAACCTCCACCCGCTACCAAAACTCGCCCAAGTCGCATGTCTGGGTGGAGGGGCGAGGCCTAAACAGAAAGAGGTGGGGGGGGGGGGGCGATGAAAGAAGGGGCGGGGCTTAACAAAAGGTATAGTTGCAAGGTGTGGAAAAGGAGGAGACGATTGGGGCACACTCAGGAAGGGGTGGGGCCTAAAGAGAATGAGGCGGGGCCTAAATAGGAAGAAGTTCATAGTTCCATTTATTTTGGTATAGCCCTGTGAGCCATTCGGCTCTTGAATCGTGTGCAACCGCAACAAACAATAAAACAAAAACATGGACAAGAAAACAAGAAGCCCGGGCCTACAGAGGTTGAACTTTCCTGTTGATTTGAGGTAATTGAAGCGAATAATTAAATAGGCAGCAGCATAGCTTCAGTGTTACAGATGTAGCCACAGGCGAACCAGTTAATTGTATTGATCCACAAAGGTTGAGAGGCAAAGTCGGCTTCATAACCAGGATTTGAGCTCTCAGCCTCCCGATTGTGAATCAAGCGCTCAAACCATATGGGGCCACTTGGGCCAGTTGTGATTTTACACCCTCTTAGATCCTCGAATGGCAATGTGGAATTTACACACTAGTCTCAGGGCTCCCTAATGGATGTGATTGCGAGGAGACTCTGGTGGCCTGGACTTTTAACGTTCGAATGTTCATTGATTGCACAGGTCGTGCATTGATGAACGCACCCTGCAAAACAACGGCTTGCGAATCACACGGAGACGATAAAAAAAATCTACGATGAGCATCAGCCACTCGCCTGCAGAGTTTGAACTTGTTTCCACTCTGCATGAACGGATGTTTATGAGTTTTTGTGCTTCTGGAATTCTTAAACAATGACTGAGCTTTTGAAACAATTTCAAGCCAACCAAATTGCTCACTTTTGGGCCAGATTGAAGGTAAAACAAATTGAGAAAGGGAAGTGTCGCAATTTTAATTGATAAATAAACACTCCCGCCTAATGTTTTCCGCATTCCTGGCCATCACATCGCACATGTGGTAAAAGTCAGTGCAAATAACAAGTGCAATGACCTCCCATTGGGAAACTATAAGACCAGCTCAATACGACGACAGCCAGCAACAGAATTACTCATGCAGAATGCAGGGTGCGTACTGCTACGTGTCCTTCACAACACACGCCCAAGAACACACGAGCATCTGGACGCGATCAACGTCAAGAGATATAAGGGAGGGTCAAAGTGGTCGTTGCTTTGCGCTCATTTCCTGACCCACCGGTGGGAATTCCAAATGTCATTGGTGGTAATTCCACATGTCGTTGGTGGGAATTCCACTTTCCGTTGGTGGGAATTCCACTTCACATTGGTGGTAATTCTACATGTCATTAGTGGGAATTTCACATGTCATTGGTGGGAATTCCACTTTCCGTTGGTTGGAATTCCACATGTCATTGGTGGGAATTCCACTTGCCATTGGTGGGAATTCCACATGCCATTGGGGGAAATTTCACGTCATTGGTGGGAATTCCACATGTCATTGGTGGGAATTCCACGTGCCATTGGGGGGAATTCCACGTGCCATTTGGGGGAATTCCAGATGTCATTGGTGGGAATTTCACATGTCATTGGTGGGAATTCCACATGTCCTTGGGGGGAATTCCACGTGCCACTGGTGGGAATTCCACATGCCATTGGTGAGAATTCCACATGCCATTGGTGGTAATTCCACATGTCATTGGTGGGAATTCCACGTGCCATTGGGGGGAATTTCACGTCATTGGTGGGAATTCCACATGTCATTGGTGGGAATTCCACGTGCCATTGGGGGGAATTCCACGTGCCATTTGGGGGAATTCCACATGTCATTGGTGGGAATTCCACATGTCATTGGTGGGAATTCCACATGCCATTGGGGGGAATTCCACGTGCCACTGGTGGGAATTCCACATGCCATTGGTGGGAATTCCACTTGCCATTGGGGGGAATTCCACATGTCATTGGTGGGAATTCCACATGCCATTGGGGGGAATTCCACATGTCATTGGGGGGAATTCCACATGTCATTGGTGGGAATTCCACATGCCACTGGTGGGAATTCCACATGTCATTGGGGGGAATTCCACATGTCATTGGTGGGAATTCCACATGCCATTGGGGGGAATTTCACGTCATTGGTGGGAATTCCACGTGCCATTGGGGGGAATTTCACGTCATTGGTGGGAATTCCACTTTCTGTTGGTGGGAATTCCACTTGCCATTGGTGGTAATTCCACATGTCATTGGTGGGAATTTCACATGTCATTGGTGGGAATTCCACTTTCCATTGGTTGGAATTCCACATGACATTGGGGGGAATTCCACATGTCATTGGTGGGAATTCCACATGCCATTGGGGGGAATTTCACGTCATTGGTGGGAATTCCACGTGCCATTGGGGGGAATTTCACGTCATTGGTGGGAATTCCACTTTCCGTTGGTGGGAATTCCACTTGCCATTGGTGGGAATTCCACATGCCATTGGTGAGAATTCCACATGCCATTGGGGGGAATTCCACATGCTATTGGGGGGAATTCCACATGTCATTGGTGGGAATTCCACTTTCCGTTGGTGGGAATTCCACTTGCCATTGGTGGGAATTCCACATGCCATTGGTGAGAATTCCACATGCCATTGGGGGGAATTCCACATGCTATTGGGGGGAATTCCACATGTCATTGGTGGGAATTCCACTTTCCGTTGGTGGGAATTCCACTTGCCATTGGTGGTAATTCCACATGTCATTGGTGGGAATTCCACATGTCATTGGTGGGAATTTCACATGTCATTGGTGGGAATTCCACTTTCCGTTGGTTGGAATTCCACATGTCATTGGTGGGAATTCCACTTGCCACCGGTGGGAATTCGACGTGCTATTGGTGGGAATTCCACTTTCCGTTGGTGGGAATTCCACTTGCCATTGGTGGGAATTCCACATGTCATTGGGGGGAATTCGACATGTCATTGGGGGGAATTCCACTTGCCATTGGTGGGAATTCCACATGCCATTGGGGGGAATTCCACTTGCCATTGGTGGGAATTCCACGTGCCATTGGTGGGAATTCCACATGTCATTGGGGGGAATTCCACATGTCATTGGGGGGAATTCCACTTGCCACCGGTGGGAATTCCACATGCCATTGGGGGGAATTCCACTTGCCATTGGTGGGAATTCCACATGCCATTGGTGGGAATTCCACGTGCCATTGGTGGGAATTCCACATGTCATTGGGGGGAATTCCACGTGCCATTGGGGGGAATTTCACGTCATTGGTGGAAATTCCACATGTCATTGGTAGGAATTCCACGTGCCATTGGGGGGAATTCCACATGTCATTGGTGGGAATTTCACATGTCATTGGTGGGAATTCCACATGTCATTGGGGGGAATTCCACATGTCATTGGTGGGAATTCCACATGCCATTGGGGGGAATTACACATGTCATTGGTGGGAATTCCACATGCCACTGGTGGGAATTCCACGTGCCGATGACAAGATATTCACTATTCACCTTTGAGACAATCTCATTTAATCACTGCACTTAAACTCTAACTTTTTTTCATCACGGAGGTTGATCGGTTCTACCGGTGATTTAAACAGTGGCCCGGTTTGATATTTAAATAGCTTACCAGAAGGTTTTTTTAAAATTTCTTATTAGTTGTATTTTTTTATATTGTGCATTATTAAATGTGTCTCATGGTTGTTGTAGATAAAAGTCAATAAATAGCTGGGCCTGTGCTCCATTAACTCAATTGACAAGCGATAAAAAAAGCGTTGACCTCCAATGAAGTGACGCTCTCCTAGGATGGAGGGGGCCCGAGTCGTGCACCCGAATGGAATTTGAACTCTGATTTTGAAGTGGGGACCCCGTGAGTGGCCTTGGCGGACTATTTCGGATGACACCGATTGCTGGATGGCGAAATAACATTGAGGGCGCTTGAGCTACCGGATGTTTGCGAAGTTAGTTCAACACGTGGTAAGGGTTTTCGTGATAAATATTATCCATAATAGAGGTTTTTTTTGGATTAGATCGCGTAAATATAAATCTGTCGTTATACCCACCACCACCCGACACAGCCAAATTAGTGAGGTTTGTCACGTAGACAAAACACGCCAATTCGTTTCAACGGTAATTACAACCAGCATCATAAGGCGACAGACAGAGTTGTGGCGAAATCCTCCTATGTCGGCCTCAAATAGAGGGATACATGCGATGTCGTCACTTGTGGTGCCAATCAGGTACGAAGGCCAGGGGGGGGGGGGGGGGATTGAGTGAGCGAGGTCTATGTGTGCGTTGTGACGTTGCCGTAAATCTGAGTCACATCCGTTCCCGTCGCCCGTTCGCAACCGTGGTGCCCCCCCCCTCCCCCACCTCTCCGCCCAACCGTCCCGCTCGCAGCTGTGATCAACAACCACATCTTGGACTCGGTGCAGTGCTCGGAGGCCGTGCTGGGCAACAGCGTGGTGGACTCGCGCGAGGGCAGCCTCACGACGCTCGGCTGCGAGGGCGGCGAGTTCCGCATCAACGGCCTGAGCAGCGTGGCCCAGCGGGACCTGGCCGCCACCAACGGCGTGGTGCACACCATCGGCGATGTGCTCATCCCCGACTCCGGTGCGAACGCTCGCGCGTGTGTGCGCTCGCGCGTGTGTGTGTGCGTGTGTGTGTGCGTGCGTGTGTGCGTGCGTGTGTGCGTGTGTGTGCGTGTGTGTGCACGTGTGTGTGTGCGTGTGTGAGCAGGGGAAACTTACGTTTGTTGGGAGTGAGGTGGAAGATGAAAAGGAGGGAGAGGTTCAAGTCGCGAGATGTGTTTTTTTTTTGTTTTTAGTTTCGCGTGAAGCTCACAGCTCTTCGCGAGAGAGCCACCAACGTGGAGGGAATGTTGGCCGTGGTGCGCTTGTGTGTGCGCGTGTGTGCGTGTGTGTGCGTGGAGCGATAGTGTAGCGGTTAGCGCTACGCTGCGCTATGAACCTGGCGACCCGGGTTCGATTCCCGCTCACGGCCAACACCGGTGACGATTATCTGAACCGGTCCCGGGCCTCCTCTAGGTCGACTCAGCCTCAAATGAGTACCCGGTGCGGCGTGTAAACATTGCCAATAGGGAGACAAAGGCGGCCGGGCGTGGTGTTGACCACCCACCCCCCCGTGTACCGTCCACTGAGCTACGTAGCTCTTTTTCATAAGAGACCTGGCCACAAATGATAGCTCAACGAAGCGGCTTATCATCACGTGGAACATTCGCAGCAGCCAAATTACTCTTAAACGCACAATGCTTATTCTAAATGTGGGGGGGAAAACCAAAGGGCCCGGTGAAAAATCCATGCGACCACGTGGAGAGAGACATGCATACTCAAATATACAGCAGCAGGCATCGTCAGGGTCGGGATCGAACCCACGACCTCCTGCATACCAGGCGAGGTAGTTAATGTCTCCTAGCCACCGTGATGATGAGACAGAGAGAGAGACATTGCATACTCAAATATACAGCAGGCATCGTCAGGGTCGGGATCGAACCCGCGACCTCCTGCACACCGGGCGAGGTAGTTAACATCTCGCCGCGGTGATTTTGATGAATGACCACGCCGCGTGTTCACGCACGCGCATTGGGAGCGCTCCTGTAGTGGTGCTTGCACCTCGCTGTGATTTCCGTCGCAACCTGCGTTGCATTCAGGACCTTGTACGGTTCCACCGGCCAAGCGGGAGCTCAGCTGATCCTCTGCCCTGCTGGTCAATTCGCCTCAATGGAGCAGATGCGTTACACCGCTGTCATTATCCACCACTTGGCCTCATCAGCGTGCCCACGAGCCCTGACCGTCGTTGCCGTCCACGGACGATGATCACACTCGACTTCGAGGCATCCCAGGTGACGATTCACGTCCGCCGCTGGAATGACAGGCCAGCCAGCGATAGTTTGTTGCAAAGCAGGGCAACGCCGCTGTCCCGCGTGGGGGCCGAACGCGATCGCTGATTCCCTCAGCGGTGACGATAAGGGAATTTTGACGAGTTTGAAAAGGCGGCAGGCACATTGGGTATGGAGGCATGTGTAATGGAATTCATATCTAGCTCTGAATATCGCATGCGCACCAAGCGCCGACCGACGCTCCAAGAGAAAAGCACTTAACGCAACCGCCCCTTTTATTTATTATTTCTCTCAGGTGTGTGTGTTTTATCTTTGTTGTTACTTTTTTTTATTTTCCCAGCCGTGTCATTGCTTTTGGTTTGTACCGCTTTGACACCGACTACGCTGTCGGCGTCGCGTCGCGAGACGCGTTAGTGTCAGCCCCCGGGGGTCTCTTGCGGTGTGCGGGGTATGGCTGAACGATGAATCGATTTCAAATCGGTATTGCAATTTTGAACAACGCGATTAGCAAATCGCAAAGGCTGCGATCTTTTTTGCGATTTGAAAAGTCATATTTCTTTCTTTTTGGAATTGTTTTTTTGTATTATTATAACTTAATTTATTTAACTTAATTGTTCTATGCTTGATTGGTCTATCTCAATTAAAATGCTTTCATAAATACATGTCGGAAGCAATTCATGTATTTTTAAGTTCTCATCCTCGCATTGGAATATATAGAGCAGTTCATATTGTGATGGTATCACGTGGTAATGCTCCATCACGTGTTTATAATCTATGACACAGTGAAAATTGAGCTGAAGCTTGACTTTAAAAAAATGTAATCGCAAATCAAATCGCAATCGCAATATCTGTCAGAAACATCGCAATTAGATACCTTCCCCAAATCGTTCAGCCCTAGTGCGGGAGGCGGGGGGGGGGGTGGTGGAGGGATCCCCCTGCCACCTTCGTGTCTGAGAGAGAACGGCCCGCGGAAGCGAATTTAGCAGAGCTGCCTCTGAGGCGCCTCCTTAGAGCGAACCTCTGGCTCACGCCACAACGGGTGCGGTACTCTCTCAGGCCATTCCGCGTGCTGGGGTGAGGTTTTGCCGCAAGGGCCATCGAGACGACGTTTGATTTTTTTTTTCAGGACTGGAGGAATGGAGCCAAGGCGAGTGCAGAGCACAAACATTTGACGCGGTTATTGTGTTGGCTCGTGCGTTCAGTGGTGATGGGGGCTGCTGAACATGAATTCCCTAGACGCGAAAACCAATTTTAATCATCATTTATTTGGCGATACTGCATTGGCAGCGATGCACGAGCAGCAGCAGCAGCAGCAACGACGACGAACAACAGCAGTAGAACTCAACACATCTATCAATAACACTGTGGTCTCGGCAGTAAAAAAAAAAAGTATATGACAGGTGACGTTTCGGGTAATTAGCCTCCTTGAGAGCACGTAAAGGACTCTCACCCGTTGGCCTCTCTATGCGCAGTGAAGAAGAGCCATTGCCCAAAACGTCACCCGTTGTAAACGTTTGCACGTACGTGTGTTGAACTTCTTTCGCGCCGTACATAGCCAACCGTCGCTAAATCCGAGGTGTGGCAAGGGGGTGGCTGGAATGTGCATCTAAACAAACTGTCAAATCGCTATCCGTGGTGCTAACGTTTTTAAAATAAATAAATAAATAGATACAAACCGCCACTTCTTTCAAATGTTCTTGCCGTTGGTTTTCACACCTGATGATGACTGCTTGTGTTGCAGTCGAAACGTCGTGATAATTTTATTGTTTTTTAATATATTTTATTATTTTTTTTGTTTCCTTTCAACGTGACTTTACCGAAAGAACCAAAAACATGGTTCTTTCGGTAAAGTCACGTTGAAGGGAAACAATAAAATTATATATTATTTTATATATTATTATTTTATTGTAAAGTCACGTTGAAGGGAATTATATATAATTTTATATATATTATTATTTTATTGTTTCCCTTCAACGTGACTTTACCGAATGAACCAAGACTATGAATCACTGCGGTCACGAAAGCTTTAAATCAAAATTTTAGTTGTAAAGAAATTCGTTTTCAATCCAGACGCTTTTAAAGAGCATGGCTCCAGAAACACGAATGTGTTGAGTTTTTATCTTCAACGGTTTCACTTAACTTGACTCCTACGTCTGTCGTGGTTCAAATCTTGTAATCAAAAGCTAGTCTACTTCCTGTTGTCCAATCAATTCCACATTTTGCACACGTGCTCAGATCCGGTGACAATAATCAATTAATTCGCTACTTTAAAGCAATTTACATGTTGTACGGACGCCTTATTATTTGTAGATATATTTGTGTAGGTCGAAAAACGCCGTGGCCCCCCTAAACTTCCGAACCGCCTGCTCCGTGCGAACGAGTTTTACATAAGTTATCAATCAATTAAAAGTAAGCATTGATGTGGGGGGAACAGGCGCCGCGTCATTGAAGCACTTTTCGCGTTAAACGAAGCTGTTAATTAAAGCGTTGTTTAACAAAAACAAACTTTTTTCAAGGAGTTTATTTTGGTTTTAGTTCGGCTTCATTCAAAGCCCTGGATTTGAATGCGGGGGTCTTCAGCGTTGCCAGTTCAGAACTCTGACTCCCCCCCACTCCCCCCAGCCGGGCGTTCTTCCTCTGAGCCAATTAGAGTAACGACTCCCTGCCAAGGTGGATGAGTCATTCGAACAATGAAGCGCTTGAGCAAAGGGGTATATATATATACACGCGTATCGCGTGTCCGCGTTTTAACGCAAGCGTAATCGAATACAAGTTATGCGCCACCGGGGATTAAATGTGACATTTTCGAGAAATTGCTGTGAAAATATTTTCACTGGCAAATCATTTTTTTTTTGCAGCTGTGGATTTTAATTTTTCCCCTTCTTCATTTGTCAAGATGTTGGAGTTCTCTACAGCACGTCAGCCTGGTGATGGTCACGGGTGGGGGGGGGGGGGATATGAGTTTGGGACTTGGTGGTGAACTGGTCATTAAAAGGTCTGTTACATCACATGGAGGATCCGATGCGAACCCATTTGTTCTCCACAGGCGAGATGTTAACTACCTCTCCTAGTACACAGGAGGTTCGAGAGTTCGATCCCGATCCAGACACCTGCGTATTTGGAATTTGCGTCTTTCTCTGTTTCTCTCTTTCTCTCTCCCCATGGTCGCGTTGATTTTTCACCGGCTTTTCTGTTTTTTCTCCCCCTCCACACATTTGTAAGCACGCGTTCAGAGTGTTTGGCTGCTGTAAGTTGCCACGTGTTAAGCCACTTCGTTGGGCTATCATTTGTGGCCAGGTCATTCGTGAAATAGAGCTACAGGGCTCAGTGGTAAAATATATATCGTTTTAGTTAACTTTGATTTATATTCTTGGTTCTTTCGGTAAAGTCACGTAGAAGGGAAACAATAAAATAATAAAAATATAAAACAATAAAATTCTCACGACGTTTCGACTGCAACACAAGCAATCATCATCAGGTGTGAAAACCACAACGTGGTGCTAACGTTAAAAAATAACCGCCACTTTTTTCAAATTTTCTTGCTCTGGTTTTCACACCTGATGATGATTGCTTGTGTTGCAGTCGAAACGTCGTGATAATTTTATTGTTTATATTTTTATTATTTTATTGTTTCCCTTCTACGCGGTGACTTTACCGAAATAACCAAGAATATGAATCCCTGCAGTCACGAAAGCTTTAAGTCAAAATGTAACTTTGATTTGTTTTATTTGTACCAAGTGTCAATAATTATATCAATCAATGAATCAATAATAATACCCGTGTCAAACGCTGCCGAGTGTCGTGGAAGTGTCTTGGCTAGACAGAGGCTTCTAGCCACGGATGGCGAACAAGGAAGCGCCTCTTTCGCGCTGTATTGTAACTGAACGAGCAACGAGAAGCATCACGTTCATAGCGGAATGCGGCCGCTGTTTTTACTCGTTCACGTGGAATGTTTCACGTGGAATGTTAAACGCAGGGGGCTGTGATCGCAATGCCACTGACCATTGCAATGACGTCACCGACCATCGTAATGTCACTTGACCGTTACAATGACGTCACCGACCATCGTGATGTCACCGACCGTTACGATGACGCGACCGACCATTGTGATGTCACTGACCATTACAATGACGTCACCGACCATTGTGATGTCACTGACCATTACAATGACGTCACCGACCATCGTGATGCCACTGACCGTTACAATGACGTCACCGACCATCGTGATGTCACTGACCATTACGATGACGCGACCGACCATCGTGATGTCACTGACCATTACAATGACGTCACCGACCATTGTGATGTCACTGACCATCACAATGACGTCACCGACCGTCACAACGACGTTGGAGCCGGTCGTTGACGCCGCCCCGTGCCCTCTGTCCCCCGCCCCCCCCTCCCCCCCCCCCCCCCAGCCAAGACGGTGATGGAGCTGGCCGACTCGGCGGGAGTCACCAACTTCGTGGACATGTTTGCCGAGGCGGGCCTCATGAAGAGCCTGAAGCCCGGGGCCGACTACACGCTGCTGGCGCCCACCAACGAGGCGACGGACGGTACGGAGCCGCGCGAGCTCACCCCCTCCCATCTCCACCCTCGCGGAAAAGAAAAAACAAACACAGAGCTGCACCGCACACTCTCCGCATCGCACACACTCGCTGTACCACACACTCGCTGTACCACACACTCGCTACACCGCACACACTCGCCACACCGCACACTCGCTACACCGCACACACTCGCTGTACCACACACTCGCCACACCGCACACACTCGCTACACCGCACACACTCGCTGCATCGCACACACTCGCTGTACCACACACTCGCTACACCGCACACACTCGCTGTACCACACACTCGCTACACCGCACACACTCGCTGTACCACACACTCGCTACACCGCACACACTCGCTGTACCACACACTCGCTACACCGCACACACTCGCTGTACCACACACTCGCTACACCGCACACACTCGCTGTACCACACACTCGCTACACCGCACACACTCGCCACACCGCACACACTCGCCACACCGCACACACTCGCCACACCGCACACACTCGCCGCACCGCTCACCACACCACACACGTGCGCCACGACCACCTGCCAAAACACCGCCGTGCTACCGAATTGGTTCTTCGGTTTGTGTTGTGCGAGCGAGAGTCGGAGACGGAGGCGGAGTGAAACAAAAAAAAACACGATTGTACGCCACTTAAATGCACACCGATTGTTTACCTCTCACCGTCACCATCCCGAACTGACCGGTCGGGTGAAGTGTGGCCAAACAACCCCCAGAAACGGTATGGCACAGGGAGGCCTTCGCTGTTGGATTGACAGAGGACTGTTAATTATCATCGATATCATTATTTGGGCACAGTAGACATTCTCAGAGGCCCCCAAATTTGAATCGCCGCATTTCGCGCAGAATGCCCCTTAGTCGATAGGGCAACTGTGGACGTTCACATTGCGCTGGTAGGGAAGGCGTCGTGCGTAAGCATGGAACTCCTCCAACTGTTCATCCTGAATAATGAGATTCCAGCACCGTCAGGAGTGGGGACCAGAACAAGTCCACCCGGACGAAGCTCACGAACAAAAACCCGTAAATATGCGTGCGCGGATCCTGGTAAGTGTCACCATTTCTACGCGCGCTCACGTTATGGGATGCCAGCTTTATAACATCAGGCCACTGATCCGCATAGGTTGGTTGCTGTATTGAAGCCCCGGTACAGGACTCTGGGTGCATTGCGCGGTGTACGGGGACTTGTGGAGGCGTGTGTATTCTGCGTCCTTTTTCACGTTCTGTGCGAGATCGCGCGGTGCGCTTTCAAATCTGTATTGAACACTCGTGAGTTTTGGAACCGATTTGGTGTGTTTGGTTCGTTGTGCTTCCCACGTACGGTGCGAAAGAAATTTAACGTAAATACATACCGCCCACAGATTTACACTACCCATAGATACAACACTGCACACAGACTAACACTGCCCATAGACTCAACACTGCCCATAGACTCAACACTACCCATAGACTAACACTACCCATAGACTCAACACTACCCATAGACTCAACACTGCCCATAGACTCAACACTGCCCATAGACTCAACACTGCCCATAGACTCAACACACCCATAGACTCAACGCTGCCCACAGACTAACACTACCCATTGACTAACACGACCCACAGACTAACACTGCCCATAGACTCAACACTGCCCATAGACTAACACTACCCATAGACTCAACACTGCCCATAGACTAATATTACCCATAGGCTCAAGACTGCACCCCCGATTAGCACGGTTAGCTACGTATGGTGCGAAAGAAGTTCAACATACATACTGCCCATAGACTCAATACTGCCTATAGATTCAACACTGCCCATAGGCTCAACACTGCACCTCCGATTAGCACGGTTGGCCACGTACAGTGACGAAAGAAGTTCAACACGCGTACAACACTCTCATGAAATATATACAGTGAGGGAAAAAAGTATTTGATCCCCTGCTGGTTTTGTACGTTTGCCCACTGACAAAGAAATGATCAGTGAATAATTTTAATGGTAGGTTTATATGAACAGTGAGACAGAATAACAACAACAAAATCCAGAAAAACGCATGTCAAAAATGTTATAAATTGATTTGCATTTTAATAAGGGAAATAAGTATTTGACCCCCTCTCAATCAGAAAGATTTCTGTCTCCCAGTTGTCTTTTATACAGGTAATGAGCTGTGATTAGGAGCACACTCTTAAAGAAGCAATCGATCAATCAGATTCCAAACTCTCCACCATGGCCAAGACCAAAGAGCTCTCCAAGGATGTCAGGGACAAGATTGTAGACCTACACAAGGCTGGAATGGGCTACGAGACCATTGCCAAGCAGCTTGGTGAGAAGGTGACAACAGTTGGTGCGATTATTCGCAAAGGGAAGAAACACAAAAGAACTGTCAATCTCCCTCGGCCTGGAGCTCCATGCAAGATCTCACCTCGTGGAGTTGCAATGATCATGAGAACGGTGAGGAATCAGCCCAGAACTACACGGGAGGATCTTGTCAATGATCTCAAGGCAGCTGGGACCATAGTCACCAAAAAAACAATTGGTAACACACTACGCCGTGAAGGACTTAAATCCTGCGGCGCCCACAAGGTCCCCCTGCTCAAGAAAACACATATGCATGCCCGTCTGAAGCTTGCCAATGAACATCTGAATGATTCAGAGGACAACTGGGTGAAAGTTTTGTGGTCAGATGAGACCAAAATGGAGCTCTTTGGCATCAATTCAACTCGCCGTGTTTGGAGGAGGAATGCTGCCTATGACCCCAAGAACACCATCCCCACCGTCAAACATGGAGGTGAAAACATTATGTTTTGGGGGTGTTTTTCTGCTAAGGGGACAGGACAACATCAACGAATCAGAGGGACGATGGACGGGGCCATGTACCGTCAAATCTTGGGTGAGAACCTCCTTCCCTCAGCCAGGGCATTGAAAATGGGTCATGGATGGGTATTCCAGCATGACAATGACCCAAAATACACGGCCAAGGCAACACAGGAGTAGCTCAAGAAGAAGCACATAAAGGTCCTGGAGTGGCCTAGCCAGTCTCCAGACCTTAATCCCATAGAAAATCTGTGGAGGGAGCTGAAGGTTCGAGTTGCCAAACGTCAGCCTCGAAACCTTAATGACTTGGAGAAGATCTGAAAAGAGGAGTGGGACAAATCCCTCCTGAGATGTGTGTAAACCTGGTGGCCAACTACAAGAAACGTCTGACCTCTGTGATTGCCAACAAGGGTTTTGCCACCAAGTACTATGTCATGTTTTGCAGAGGGGTCAAATACTTATTTCCCTCATTAAAATGCAAATCATTTTATAACATTTTGACATGCGTTTTTCCGGATTTTGTTGTTGTTATTCTGTCTCTCACTGTTCAACTAAACCTACCATTAAAATTATAGACTGATAATTTCTTTGTCAGTGGGCAAACGTACAAAATCAGCAGGGGATCAAATACTTTTTTTCCCTCACTGTATGCAAACTCTGCACTTACGGATAATGCGTGTGTGCATCACACACGCTCTCAAACACATTTGCGTGGCTAAGCAGAGTTTTTCGTGAACCGAGTTCACTTCACACACACAGCGCGCGTACTCATTGCACACTCGAACACAAAGTACACCGGCACAGCATCTGCCCTCCGTGCAAGTGCTTGTTAGCCAGCGCGTTATTAATGTGCTCAAGGCACAGGCGTACGGGTTGCTCTGTGCTGTAAGCCCGGCATCCCGAGCTCAATTCCCAAAGTCCCGTGAATTATAAACAAACGCAGTGCTGCACGTGGCTGCCACTGGACAGCGAGGAGCGATCGACTTACAGCGCTCCTTTGTTCTGAACTCGCAAACGCTAATTGAGGTGCATGGGATACGAACCACACGGGATTACCCTGCACCGAAACACAACGCGCCGTGCCAGCGTCGCACCGAGCCAAACAAAATTTGCGCTGGATTAACTTGAACATTAATATCATTGTACAACGTTCCCACACAGCTGAAAGGGAGGAATGGCTACATTTTATTTTTATATATATATAAGTGTAGGCTATCGCGAGCAATGTTTTGATTAATAATTTGAACACTTACGGGGTCTTTTCTCCGCGTGAGTCCACTGCCAATATTGTGTCGTACGCCCTTCTTCACCCGGCACAGCCAAATAAGTAAAGCTGTCACGTGACAAACGAACGTTGCCGATTTATCGCCGCGTCAATGCCACCGGTAATGCCGGTGAGCGATCCGGCACGCGTTCTGACACTTGGGGACGGACGTGTCGCCGCTAGTTAGAGGCCGTCCATAAATGACGTCACGCACCTGGGGGCGGGGGGGGGGGTCAGACATTTGTGACGATGTGTGACGAGGTGGGGGGGGGGTTGAGAAATGTGACGTCACCTAAAAATTACCAAACTTTCAATAAATATAGAATTATATTCTTGGTTCTTTCGGTAAAGTCACGTTGAAGGGAAACAATAAAATAATAATAATATATTATTTTATATATCATTATTTTATTGTAAAGTCACGTTGAAGGGAAACAATACAATAATAATATATATAAACAATAAAATAATAATATATAATTTTATATATATTATTATTTTATTGTTTCCCTTCAACGTGACTTTGCCGAAAGAACCAAGAATATGAATCATTGCAGTCACGAAAGCTTTAAATCAAAATATAGAATTGTTATAACAACACTAATTGTTATAACAACACTCCTACAACATCAGAGTGCAGCGCCACATTAAATACGCACTACTACAATGACAATAGTTTAAAGTGATTTGAAGCATCTTTTATTTTCAAAATGGAAATATGGTTTTGGGGGGGGGGGGGGTGGGGGGCAGAGCTTTGTGACGTCATATTTGAGGGGGGTCTGACTTTTTGTGACGCCGTGTGACGAGGGAGGTGGGGTTAAAAAATCGTCCAAAATCGCGTGACGTCATATATGGACGGTCCCTTATGACCAGCATCGCCGTCGTCATCGTCAATCAGGCGATCGCCACAATTGTTCGCACCGAAATTGTTAAACGTGCGTGGTTCGCTCGCCAACGATCACCGGTGACGCATTTGTGGCAAATCGGTGCGTTTGTCCGTCACGTGACAACTGTGTTGACATGGCTGTGTGTCGGCATTGGCGGAGGGCTTAACCGCACAGCGTTCAAGAACCGGAAACTGGAAGACTCATTCACAATTCTGTCGAATCGCCTGATGAAGCTTGGTGGTTGTAATCGCCCGGCGAAACGCCGCGGTGCATGAATTGTTAAACGTTGCTGTGGGTTCATTCTGGCACACACAACCGGCGAGCTGACGTGGTAACCGATTGGCACGTTTTGTTTAGGTGGCAAACCTCAATAATTTGCTGTGTCGGGTGGCTGCGGTGGGTTTTGCGACACTGTAATTTTTACGCGGTCTTACCCCCCCCAAAAAAAACCCCCATTTACGATTCATATTCGCCACGAAAGCCTACTGCGTGTTAAAACAACATTGGCTTTTTTACTCACGCGGCCAGTCTGACCCGAAAATTGATTGTGGACGAGTGGCTGCGTCACAGAGCACTGAATCCAGCGCAGTTGGCATCCTCCAGCCACATCGTAGAATCGAACCAAACCGGGTAAGAGCGTGCGGCCGGTTTGACGCTCACAAGCCCCCGCGGTTGTCGGCGACACTGGCGTGTGATCACCCTCCGCGTCGCTTGAGAAGACGGAGTATCGGAGATGAAGAAGCCCGCGTCACTCGTGCGTGCGTGGGGGTCTACGCTGGAATTCCTTCGCACCGTACGGAGCGAACGCCGCGCGAATCAGCGGCGCCGGCGTAGGGGGAAGGACGACAAACCAAAAGACAAAAAGCGGTTCTCACCGCAGCTTGAATCAAGCAACGGTCGGCTTTCGCACGGTGCGAAAGAAAAGTTCACCAAGCACACGCACGAAGAAGAAAACGCTTCTCCAATCCGGCGGATTTGAGAGTGCGTAGCCCCGAGCGGCTTCCTAACGTCGCAGAAGGAAGAGCGCTTCCAGACGGTCGCGGGTGACCCCCCACTCAACATCTTGGGTGCCGCCCCCCCCCTCCCATACCCCCGCAGGTCACGCCATGAGCTCCCTGCCCATGGAGCTTCCCGAGCTGCTGCTCAACCACATCATCAAGGGGCAGGTGTCCCCCTTCCAGCTCTACAATGGGCAGGTGCTGGAGACCTTGGGCGGCCGTAAAGTTCGCGTCTTCGTCTATCGCACGGTGAGCGCTGCACGGGCCTTCGGTTGCCGTGGGTGGGGGGTGGAGGCGGAGTGGGTGGGTGTGGGGGAGGTGGAGTGGGTGGGGGTGGAGGTGGAGTGGGTGGGGGTGGAGGTGGAGTGGGTGGGGGGGAGGCGGAGTGGGTGGGGGTGGAGGTGGAGTGGGTGTGGGGGAGGCGGAGTGGGTGGGGGGGAGGTGGAGTGGGTGGGGGGGAGGTGGAGTGGGTGGGGGGGAGGTGGAGTGGGTGGGGGGGAGGTGGAGTGGGTGTGGGGGAGGCGGAGTGGGTGGGGGGGAGGTGGAGTGGGTGGGGGGGAGGCGGAGTGGGTGGGTGTGGGGAAGGTGGAGTGGGTGGGGGGGAGGCGGAGTGGGTGGGTGGGGGGGGAGACGGAGTGGGTGGGGGTGGAGGTGGAGTGGGTGGGGGTGGAGGTGGAGTGGGTGGGGGGGAGGCGGAGTGGGTGGGGGGGGGGGGAGGCGGAGTGGGTGGGGGTGGAGGCGGAGTGGGTGGGGGGGAGGCGGAGTGGGTGGGGGGAAGACAGAGTGGGTGGGAGGGAGGCGGAGTGGGTGGGGGGGAGACAGAGTGGGTGGGAGGGAGGCGGAGTGGGTGGGGGGGAGACGGAGTGGGTGGAGGGGAGACGGAGTGGGTGGGGGGTAGACAGAGTGGGTGGGGGGTAGACAGAGTGGTTGGGGGGGAGACGGAGTGGGTGGGGGGAGACGGAGTGGGTGGGGGGTAGACGGAGTGGGGGGGGGGGGGTGCGGTCCAAGGCGGGGAGACATTGTCCATAGACTTACATTGTCCATGTAAAAGATGTGATTGCGGACATACAGTACCCTGGTGTCTACAAACTAAGTTGCCTCTGTGGTAGTAGTTACATTGGAGAAACCAAACGACATGTCTCGGACCGCATTCGTGAACACAAAGTAGACTTTAAACACGGTAGGACCAACACCTCGGCCGTGGCAGATCACTGTTATAATTCAGTAGGCTCACATGACATTGACTTTTCCAAGACAGAGGTTCTTTGTAAGCCATCTGGCTACCATGAGAGATTCGTTCATGAGGAAAACCACATATACAAGCACAGAAACAATTTCAACCGAGAAGATGGATTCTATCTTAGCAATCATTGGAAAGATTTGATAAACCATTTCAGGTCTTAATTGATTGTTCACGCTTACAGTGGCCTTCAGACAGCATACATTAAAAAAAAATTCGTCTTCCCCCTCCTCTTTTCAGAACATAGATGGACTAGTCCTTCTAAATAAACTGCCAAATCGCTGCGCGTGGCGCTGACGTTTTTTTAAATAAATAAATAAATACACCGTTTAAAAATAAATTTATGCAAACCAACACACCTGAAGACGACCGTTTGTGTTATGGTTGAAACGTCGTGAGAATTTTTAGTGTTTTATATATATTTTATTATTTTGTTGTTTCACTTCAACGTGACTTTACCGAAAGAACTAAGAATATATTGTCCATAGACTTAACATCGTCCATAGACTTAACATTGTCCATAGACTTAACATTGTCCATAGACTTACATCGTCCATAGACTTAACATTGTCCATAGACTTACATTGTGCATAGACTTAACATTGTCCATAGGCTTAACATTGTCCATAGACTTAACATCGTCCATAGACTTAACATTGTCCATAGACTTAACATTGTCCTTAGACTTAACATTGTGCATAGACTTAACATTGTCCATAGACTTAACATCGTCCATAGACTTAACATTGTCAATAGACTTACATTGTCCATAGACTTAACATCGTCCATAGACTTAATATTGTCCATAGACTTAACATTTTCCATAGACTTAACATTGTCCATAGACTTAACATTGTCCATAGACTTTACATCGTCCATAGACTTAACATTGTCCATAGACTTTACATTGTCCATAGACTTAACATTGTCCATAGACTTAACATTGTCCATAGACTTCACATTGTCCATAGACTTAACATTGTCCATAGACTTCACATTGTCCATAGACTTCACATTGTCCATAGACTTCACATTGTCCATAGACTTCACATTGTCCATAGACTTTACATTGTCCATAGACTTATCATTGTCCATAGACTTCACATTGTCCATAGACTTCACATTGTCCATAGACTTAACATTGTCCATAGACTTAACATTGTCCATAAACTTCACATTGTCCATAGACTTCACATTGTCCATAGACTTAACATTGTCCATAGACTTAACATTGTCCATAGACTTAACAATGTCCATAGTGGAGCCACGTACATCGCAGCCTTTTCAATCCTGCGGTGGGCCAGTTGAAGATCGTTGCCGTACCCACCCAGGAACCGTGAGCTCAGTCGCACGTTCCACCCTCGTCAATTTAGGCTTTTACCGAAGACAACAAATTATTGTCCATTGACGCATCCATACCTTAGCCCCTTGGTGTTCGTACCTTTAGTATAGTTAGACTTGTATACCACTTATTTTAGATTTCGATTTAAAGCTTTCGTGACTGCAAGGATTCATCTTCTTTGGTGTTTTCGGTAAAGTCACGTAGAATGAGAATAAAATAATAAATTGATTTAAAAAAATAACACAAAAAATAACAGAATATTATTGTGTTATTTTATTTTATCAATTTATTATTTTATTCTCATTCTACGTGACTTTACCGAAAGAACAAAAGAACACTTATTTTAGGCTTAAGATTACTCTATGTTGAATGTTTGCACCTTCCTGCCAAAGTGAATTCCTTGTCTGCGCGAACTTTCACGGCGAATAAAACCCTTTCTGATTCTGATACTTAGCGTACAAGTTTCAAGTCCATAAATGACGTCACGCACCTGGGGGGGGGGGGGGGGGGTGTCAGACATTTGTGACGATGTGTGACGAAGAGGGGGTGGGGGGGGTTGAGAAATGTGACGTCACACCAAAAAGCGCAACTTTAAATAAATGTAGAATTGTTATAACAACGCTCCTACGTCATCAGAAGTGCAGCGCCACATTAAACACGCACCACAATGACAATAGTTGAAAGCGAAATAAAAGCATGTTTTATTTTCAAAATGGAAATATGTGATATGACGTCATATCTGACTCTTTGTGACGTAGCGTGACGAGGCGGGGAGAGGGGGGAGGTCAACAATCGTCCAAAATCGCGTGACGTCATTTATGGACGGCCCCTGGGTCCCTCCGCCGAGTATTTAATGTTGCACTTGGGACAAAAGCCATCGATCCTCTCCCCATCGTCAAGCTGTTAATCGGCCGTGCAGCTTCACCGAGTAATATATTTTATATATATATTTATAAACTTGTTTTTTAAATTCCCCACCGAGCGAGCGCGTGTCTGTCCCGCGCGGTTTCAGCCCGAGCGCTTAGGTTCTTATACTCCTTGGTTCTTCTTTCGGTAAAGTCGCGTAGGTAGCAAAAAGAAATTAAAAAAAAACACACGAATTCTTCATCACGACGTTTCCATCGCTACACAAGCGGGAAATAAAACCCAATCACTTCGGGCCCCCCACCCCCCATCGTCCCCCCCCCACCCCCCATCGTCCCCCCACCACCGTCCGCCCACCACCGTCCCCCCCACCACCGTCCCCCCCTCCACCGTCCGCCCACCACCGTCCCCCCCACCACCGTCCCCCCACCACCGTCCGCCCACCACCGTCCCACCCCACCACCGTCCCCCCCCCCACCGTCCCCCCCACCACCGTCCCACCACCACCGTCCCCCCCCTCTACCACGTTCCCCCCCAACCACCGTCCCCCCCCCACCACGTCCCCCCCCCACCACGTCCCCCCACCACCGTCCCACCACCACGTCCCCCCCCCCACCACGTCCCCCCCACCACCACACCCACGCGTGTCACCTCTGGTGCAGACGAACCCCGAGGCGCCGCGCGTGAACTTCCGTGAGAAGGCCGAGACAACATTTTGCCGCGACGAGGCCGAGTTTCGCCGTGCGCCCGACCCCTCACTGAAACCCTTCTGCCCGCACGGCCTTCAACGCGCTCAAGTGCTGTGCGCGAGCGCCTGTGAAGGCCGGCACGGCACACCAGGTGGGATGGGTGGACAACGCCCGGCCGCCTTTGTTTCCCCAGTGCTGATGTTTGTTAAACACCGCAGCAGGTGCTTGTTTTGAGGCTGAGTTGACCTAGGGGAGGCCCAGGACCGGTTGAGATATTCGCCAGTCAGTTTGACACGTAGACGGCTTTTGCGACCAATATCATCCATAATATATAAATATATTGATGTGTCGTTAAAACCCGCCACCACCCGACACAGCCAACTAGTGAGGGTTGTCACGTCAACAGAACGTGGCCAATTCGTCACTAGTACAGCACTAGTGTATGGTGTAGTGTATAGTGTAGTAGTGTATAGTGCAGCGTATTGTATATAGTGTAGTGTATAGTGTACAGTGTAGTGTATAGTGTAGTCTATAGTAGTGTATAGTGTAGTGTATAGTGTAGTTATAGTGTAGAGTATAGTAGTGTAGAGTGTAGTGTATATAGTAGTGTATAGTGTAGTGTATAGTAGTGTATAGTGTAGTGTATAGTAGTGTATAGTGTAGTATATAGTAGTGTATAGTGTAGTGTATAGTAGTGTATAGTGTAGTGTATAGTGTAGTGTATAGTGTAATGTACAGTGTAGTGTATAGTGTAGTCTATAGTAGTGTATAGTGTAGTTATAGTGTAGAGTATAGTAGTGTAGAGTGTAGTGTATAGTGCAGTATATAGTAGTGTATAGTGTAGTGTATAGTAGTGTATAGTGTAGTGTATAGTAGTGTATAGTGTAGTATATAGTAGTGTATAGTGTAGTGTATAGTAGTGTATAGTGTAGTGTATAGTAGTGTATAGTGTAATGTATAGTGTAGTGTATAGTAGTGTATAGTGTAATGTATAGTGTAGTGTATAGTAGTGTATAGTGTAGTGTATAGTGTAGAGTATAGTAGTGTATAGTAGTGTATAGTGTAGTGTATAGTGTAGTGTACAGTGTAGTATATGGTAGTGTATAGTGTAGTG